GGGAGTGAGGGGCACCGGCAGAGCTGTGGGGGGCAGGGCTGGGCTAGCAGGGGCTGCGGGTCGGGAGTGAGGGGCACCGGCAGAGCTGGGGGGGGCAGGGCTGGGCTAGCAGGGGCTGCGGGGCGGGGGAGAGGGGCACCGGCAGAGCTGGGGGGGGCGGGGCTGAACTGGCAGGGGCTGTGGGTCGGGAGTGAGGGGCACCGACAGGGCTATTTATTAGGAAACTTTTTCATTGGAAGAAATTGGCTTTCGAAGCTGCTTTGCTCCATGGGATAAATTAATCACTGATCCGGTTCTAGATGCCTGGAGCGTTTCCACTGGATTCCTGACTGGAGTCAATTAAACAGGGAATCGAGTTTTTCTGCGAAAACATAGTTGAGAAATCACCTTTCATCTGGGCCTTGGATCCACCCCCCAAGCTCCCTGAGCCAGCCAATCCCCACCCTGGGGCCAGATCGGAGCCAGCGCCCCCTAGTGGGGACAGGCCCTGTGCCCCATTCCCTGCCCCCCTGAGCCAGCCAGTCCCCGCCCTGGGGCCAGATCGGAGCCAGCGCCCCCTAGTGGGGACAGGCCCTGTGCCCCATTCCCTGCCCCCCTGAGCCAGCCAGTCCCCGCCTGGGGCTGGATGGGAGCTGGCGCCCCCTAGTGGGGAAAGGGCCCGTGTCCCATTTCCCAAAACTCCCGTGTTTGCGTGATCCTCTCTCTGCTGGAGGACGTGCCACTGTCTGTTTCCAGCTGGTGGTTTCTATCGGACAATGTGGTGTGGTCCAGAGGAACGGCTCCTTCCTGTGAAGGCCGAGGAAGCAGCTGGAAGGCTGGGAGGGAGAGACACGCATGGGGGCGGGGGGGGGACAGGCAGGAATGTGGGGCGGGGCTGGCACTGGATGGGAGCCGGGTGACACCCTGCCCAGCTGGCAGGAAAGAGGATCGGTGACAGTCAAGATACCAGTAAAAGAAGTGACCCCACTCTGCTCCCAGAGCCAGGAGAGAACCCAGGCGTCCTGGCTCCCAGCCCCTCCTGCTCTAACCACTAGACCTCACTCCCCTCCCAGAGTTGGGGAGAGAACCCAGGCGTCCTGGCTTCTAGCCCCCCCTGCTCTAACCCACTAGACCCCACTCCCCGCCCAGAGCTGGGGAGAGAACCCGGGAGTCCCGGCTCCAACCCCCCGCCGCACTTCAAGCCCTCTCACCGGGGCTCTGTATCTCTGTTTCAGACAAGGTGAAGGTGACCCTGATCTTGGGGGACATCAGTAGCCCCACGGACGTTGGGGCTGCCGTGAAGGGGGCGGACGTGGTGATCCACGCAGCCAGCTTGGTGGACGTGTGGGGCAGGGTCCCACCCGAGAAGATCACGGAGGTGAACGTTCACGGTATGGGAAGCGGCTGGGGCTGGGGCAGCGCACGTGGCTAGGGGGGCGCTTTGCTGCAGGGAGCTCGGCCGGGGGCGCTCTCCCCGGGCAGCCAGCGTTCCTGCCTCTCTCCCGATAGCGCCCCCTGCTGGCTCTGGGGTAGCCGGGAACACCCTCCTCCCAACAGCCAACACCCCGTTCAGGCTGAGCCTGGGACTGCAACCCTGAATGTCTCCTCTGAGTGACTCCGCTGCTCTTGGCTTGGGCCGTCTGTCCCGCTTCCAGGTTTCCGCTGGAAAAGCCCTGAGCTTCGGAAAATCCCTCTCACGCAGCCAAGGGACTGAAGAGGGAAGCGGCTGCAGGTGATGCATTTGCCACCTGTTTACCAGACACAAGTCACGCTACCGGGTGGGTGAGTGAATCCGGGGGGACCCACGAGGCATGTCCTGGCTCCCACACGAGCCTGATCCACCTCTTCTGAGTAACAGCCAATGATTCCAGAGCTGGAGAATTTAGGTGCAGAAGGGAAACTGAGGTACAGAGCTAGGGTAGAGTCCTGGCTCCCAGCCCCCACTCCCCGGCTGCTCCGGCACCTGGGGCAGGGGTTGGGTTGCGGTGGAGAAGGCTCTCCCACCAGGCAGAGTTGGGGACGCTCAGATACCTGATTAATCCCTTGTTTTCCTCTCCCCCCCCACCTCCAGGGACCAAGAACGTGATTGATGCCTGCATCGAGCATGGGACCCAGTATCTGATCTACACCAGCAGCATGGAGGTTGTTGGCCCCAACACCAAGGGGGATCCCTTCTACAGGTACCCAGGCACCTGGCTTCCCCTGCTCTAACCACTGGACCCCACTCCCCTCCCACAGCCAGGGAGAGAACCCAGGAGTCCTGCTTTCCAGCCCCCCTGCTCTAACCCACTAGACTCCACTCCCCTCCCAGAGCTAGGGAGAGAACCCAGGCGTCCTAGGAGTTAAAGGCCCTCATCCTTAGGAAGGAACAATCAGTTGCACACGTGCAAAACAGGAAATGACTGCCTAGGAAGGAGAACTGCAGAAAGGGATCTAGGGGTCAGAGTGGATCACAAGCTAAATATGAGTCAACAGTGTAACGCTGTTGCAAAAAAGCAAACATCCTTCTGGGCTGTATTAACAGGAGTGTTGTGAGCAAGACATGAGAAGTCATTCTTCCGCTCTACTCCGCGCTGATTAGGCCTCAACTGGAGTATTGTGTCCAGTTCTGGGTGCCACATTTTAGGAAAGATGTGGACAAATTGGAGAAAGTCCAGAGAAGATGAAGAAAAATGATTCAAGGTCTAGAAACCATGAGCGGTGAGGGAAGATTGAAAGAACTGGGTTTGTTTAGTCTGGAGAAGAGAAGACTGAGAGGGGACATGAGAACAGTTTTCAAGTACATAAAAGGTTGTTACAAGGAGGAGGGAGAAGAATTGTTCTTAACCTTTGAGGATAGGACAAGAAGCAATGGGCTTAAATTGCAGCAAGGGAGGTTTAGGTTGGACCTTAGGAAAAACTTCCTGACTGTCAGAGTGGTTAAGCACTGGAATAAATTGCCCAGGGAGGTTGTGGAATCTCCATCATCGGAGATTTTTAAGAGCAAGTTGGACAAACCCCTGTCAGGGATGGTCTAGATAATACTCAGTCCTGCCATGAGCACAGGGGACTGGACTAGATGATCTCTCGAGGTCCCTTCCAGTCCTGTCAGGGATGGTCTAGATCAGCGGTTCTCAAACCTTAACAACCCGCAAACCCCCTTTCACGAAAATATCAATTCTCGCGAATCCCCTCCTAAAAACGAATATTTCCAGGGGTTTTCTCCCTTACTTGAGCATAAATGATAGAAGCCGTGAGCTTGGAAATAACATGGTATGCGGATTACACGCTAGTTGTGATTACAGTATTCTTGATCATTCCATTATTAATGTTCTCACATGATGAAAACGGCAACACTCTTCCCGGATTTCACTTCGGTAGCTCCTATCACTTCGATTAAGCCTCCTCCGTGTTTTATCAGGGAGTATCAGACGCAAAACCGCAGGAAGGTATTTAAGAAGCCAGCTCAATGAAAAGGTCCCCCCCACAAGCATTCGGGTCCTGAGCAGTCCAAGAAAACTTCACCCGACTAGAACGAAGCTTAAACTTGTTCTGCCAGGAAGTCGTGGTCACGGGGCTCGGGCTGCCGCCCCCCGCGTCCGGGGTCCTCAGGGACGGCTCTGTCCGCCGTTACCCAATTGTTTCTGAGAACCTCCTGATACGTTTCGAGCACCCCGAAGGGTTCCTGAACCCCGATTTGGGAACCACTGGTCTAGCTAATCCTTAATCCTGGCATGAGTGCGGGGCCCTGGACTAGACAACCTCTCGAGGTTCTGTGACTCTAGGATTCCACGACTCCCCACCCCTCCCTGCCTGCGGTCTCTGGCTCCCACCCAGCGTCAGTTGTTTCCAGCCCCACCCAGGGCTTCCCTCAGGGTTCCCACCCCAGCCCCATGGCAACCACCACATGAAACAAACACACTGCAGGCAGCGGGCACGTTGAGCTGTGACGCCTTTCACTGCTGTCCCGGACGCCTGGGTCCCATTCCCCATCTTTGTCTCCCTGCCCCCCCCTCCCCTCCCTCCGCTGCCCGGGCTACGTCTGTCTGCCAGCCCGGATGCCTGGGTCCTGTTTCCATATCCTGAAGCTTTTCAGGCGGCAAGCAGCTGTGCTTGTGTTTTTGTTGCTTGCACACACCTCCAGCGTGTCCCCTCCAGATGTGGGTGGCTGGGGACAGCAGGTGCCATCCAGCGCTGGCTGGGGGTTGTTCCAATATCCCTCCATTGCTTGGAGCCGGCTGGGGGATTCCGGGGGGGGGAGGGGAAATACCGGAGGGGGAGAGGCTGGGGTGGTGGGATCGCAGAATGGCTTAAGGGGAGGGGGGCGGGGACTGCCAGAGCTCAGAGCAGAGGGATGGTGGGGGCGGTGGGATCCTGGAAAGGGGAAAGGCAGGAAGGAAGTGGCACTGCCCCTGAGCGCTTGTGTCTCGCCCGTTGCAGGGGGAATGAGGACTCGGCCTATGATGCCCAGCACGAGCAGCCATACCCCCTGAGCAAGGCGCAGGCCGAGCGCATGGTCATCGAGGCCAATGGGACACCTGTAAGTAGCCCCCTGGCACAGCCCCTTGGATGGGGGAGAGCATCCCGGGCGGAGCTCTGCATTCCCTGCCCCACAACCCCACGGGAGGGAGGAAATGGGACCCAGGCATCCGGGACAAGCCCACTAAAGACTCTGCAGCCATCGGGGCGGGGGAGGGGAAGAGAGATTGTGATCGTGAATGGGACCCAGGGGTCCGGGACGGCATCACACAGAGCACCCAGCCTCCGGAGAGTGAGGGGATGGGACCCAGGCGTCCGGGCACTCACCCCCCTGTCTGCCCACAGCTGGGGGGTGGCCGGTGGCTGGTGACCTGCGCCCTGCGCCCCACGGGGATCTATGGGGAGAAACACCCGCTAATGAAGGAATTCTACGAGAAGGGGCTGCAGACGGGACGGAGGCTGCTCCGGGCCATTCCTGTCAGCACCGAGCATGGCCGGGTCTACGTGGGTGAGTGACAACCCGATGCCCCTCACTCCCGACCCGCAGCCCCCTGCTAGCCTAGCCCAGCCCAGCCCCCCTGCCCAGCCCTGCCAGTGCCCCTCACTCCCGACCCGCAGCCCCTGTTAGTCCAGCCCTGGGCCCCCCACAGCTCTGCCGGTGCCCCTCACTCC